GGAACTATTTATTCCCCCCCCCCCCCAATAATGGAAAATGAAATGGAAAGAGTGATAATAGAGTCGATTATAGGGATTAGGGTTTCCCAAGATGAGGGGTACCTCTTTGTAGGTACCTACAGTAATGATTATACAATTTTTGGGTCTATGTTAGAGTCCCCCTTTTAACAGCAACTACCACATAATACCAAAACTACATTGGCAGAAATCGCCTCAACAGCAAGGAAGTCAAAACGATAAGACGAAGAATCCTGCGCGTGTCATGATATGAAAGCAAATTCGTAAGACATTGAAGTTAGCACAATAGTGATGTTCATGCAGTGGTGATGCCATTTCGTAGCTGCGCCCCATCCCATTTCCCCTCGGGCATGACGTGCAATGATGTCCGAAAACATGTGAACAGTCCTACTGCTGACACTAGACCAACCAGGTTCATTGGCAGATCTTACGTCTCAGGATTCTCAAGCAAATGGCAACAAGAATAATGAGGACAGAGTTCCCATCGCAGCACCCTGCCCGTCCTGGCGCATGAGCCACGTGATCTGGGCGGGTAGCGGGCTGCGGCAAAGTAGGCCACCCACCTTCTCTGCAGAAGATGTGGCAAGGAAAGCTCAACAAGGCATGCTGTTGGTATGAGCTTCTGACTTTTGCCTAGAATCCCTTCTGCACCACAAGCATCTGACAGGTTCTTCACTGCAACTGCTGAAGTTGGGAGCGCAGCACTCCATGAAGCGGCCTCCACCGGAGCTACATGGGCCCACACGCCGTTCATGTATTCCTTAGGCTTTCGGGCTGAGAGTAAGGCTTAAAGGGGATACAATGGCATCTGCCGAGCATCATTCCACAGCTCCTGCAAGGCTCCAAAAATTCGAGAAAGACCCTTTGCCAGAACAGAAATCACACCCGAGACTTTGAATAAGAACATGCAGAAAAGCGGAGAGATTGGTCACCCGCGGATTGGCTTGCAAAGCGGTCCTCACTCTGGCTGCGTAAGAGCTGAGCATTCTTCGGAGCCACCGGCCGCTTTTCGCGGCCCGTCTTTTCCTCGGCCGCCTCGGCCTCCTGTTGAGCTTTCAGAAAAAAACTGCCAAAAACTGTCACGAGGCTGATGGCACGGTGTCTAAGATATCTGAGGCAAGAGTGGGCATGCTCAACACGGTGTATAAAACTGAGAACATTCACGAACTGCAAGCGCAGCCGAGCTGTATCTTGAACAAGTCCCAAACATCCAGCCACGGCAGACCTTTGCGCAACCACGCGCGCGAGCAACCAGTCATGAGACTTGAAAGCACCCTGATCACCAAAGCCCTGACATGAAACACTGCACTCCCAACCGTAAACTTTCTGTATCAAACTGATACCTGCTACAGCTGCAGAAGTCACTCAATTTTCCAACAGAAAGTCATGCTCAAGTTCCTCGCTTCAATCTCTTTCCCATGGCTACACGGTCCCCAGCACCGCAAGCCGAAGATCCTCGCGGGCGATAAGCTGCGCCCGAAAATCACGCCATGCCTCTGCAGCTGCGGGTTGGTGGAGGGCACACCACATGTCACTGACCATGCGTTCGATAACTGCGGATTAAACTCCAGCATCCGATACAATCCCTGAATCCAAAGGACCCTGAGCCCCGGCCTCTGGGGAGGGGCCGCTGCCGTCCTCTGACTCCTGTGGAGGGCTCAAGACATGATGGACAATCCTCCTCAAAAGCCAGCAGCTCTCAATTTGTTACTTTCAGGGCTTAAGATGGGACGTGAGGCTGTCAGAGGAGGATCATCGCCACAGCTGGGACTTAAGCCTTCGGGGCTGTGCGGTTCCCCTACTTAGAAACACGACAGCATACACCACGGCTGGTTCCACAGAGCAATCTGTCTTGCAGTGTCAAGACTTCCCACCCTTGGCTGGAAGTCCGTGATCTACTCTGCATAGGATCCAGCTGCCAAGGGTATGAGAGAGTTGCACACCCATGGTCCAGAACACACCCTTGGTGCGCAGCGTCTTTCGTATACAGAGATTCATCAAGGAAACGTACGGAAGGCTCTCTCTCTCTCTCTCTGTAAACTTCATCATCAGCGTGAACGCAAACTCTGCCAAAGGGCAGACGCAGCGATAAATGAACATGATATGTTCCAGAACAATATCAGCTTGCCACATCTTGCCACCCCAGCAGCATGCTGCGTAGCCATGTGTCTGCAATCTCAAGTTCTCAAGCCGAGCCACTGCTCGAAGTGGCACACGCGGCACAGAGAACGGCAGAGCACGCTCCAGTAGCCTGGGACTAAAAACCACTAGCCGACATTCACGGACTAACGGCAGGATCCAAAGGATCCAAACCCTCGCGACCGGGAGGCATGGAAATGGAGCTTTCTTTGGCATCCACATGTACAAGGGATTTGCAGCTGCCGTATTCGGACCTTGGCCATACCTTTGGAGCGCACCCGCCAGCATAGCCGAGGAGCACTACCACGCTAAACACGGCAAGCAGGAAGCCACCTCAGTCGTAAGATCCCATCAAAGGAACGAGATCCTTGTTTATGCCGCTACTTCTGCTGTCTCTTGCAGTGATGGCCGTTGCAGATGACACAGTTTGATGCTGCATGGAGATATCAATGGTGATTTCGCTCGTGTTGTAGTCAAGGGACTTACCATGCATCCGCGGCTGCTTGCAAAAACAGGAAGACATGCCCAGAAAGGCTCCCTCAGATATGGCCTTTTCTGGAATCAGACCCGCGGATCGATCTCTTTGCAGCCTAGCCACATCGCCTCCGAGCGGGCGAAGGAGCCATGACAACCACAGAGCTGCCGTGCACGTGCGTAGCATTCTTGGAGAACGGTGATGTTGCTGCATTTTTGTTGTTCAAAGAGTTGTGTGTGCTTGACTCATGTGCAGGAGGTCCCACTATCAGCAGGGATGACAGGCAGTTCATACATGCTATCATATACAGTAGAAGCCTTATACGGCCCAGCTTGGAGATATTAACTCAATACGATGAACGGACGTTGGACACGGCCTGTGCAGACCTGCCCAGGCTCCCCAAAAACCAAGATGCATCAAGGTTTCTACGGAGTGTGCGCATGCTTGGTTGCTGGTCAGACATCACGTGCATCATGCAAACCTAGAAAATCCTACATCATCCGCTCTTTGTATGTATACACGTTATAGTCCTGAGTCGGAGGGGTTAGAGCTCTTGTCAGATATCAGGTGTTTCACCAAGGACTGAAGCCAGTGAGACACATTGGCCAAGAACGCGCATGCAACCTTTAGACAAAGACCGCAACAAATGGCGCGGCACCAAGAAGCTTGGCAAATCTTAGCAAGCCACCAAGCAAGCCAACAAACGAGACCACTGGCAGGCGGCTTAGAAGTCCAATCCATGACATCCACGACTTTGTCAGCTTTTGCGCGGTGAGGGGCATTTCGGGCGTGGCTGTTCTTGACTGCGCAGGTTTGAGGCTGGAGGCAAGCGCTGGAGATTCGGGATGGCCAGCTGATGGCGCCAGGTTCAGAAAGCCACCAACTGGGGCAGCCCGGACCATGGTGCACTCATGAATGACACAGTCTGCTGTTCTGATATCAAGTTATGGCTTTGGTATGATGGCCTCTATAGGTCTGGGCACATCAGCGTGAGACTTCAACGGCTGCTCTGCCAGGCTCAGCTTTAAAACCCATTACAGGATTTGGCTCCTTCAGCACGAAGTGTGCCGTGCGAGGGAGGTCGCTTGGATATATCTAGGTTAACATGCAAACAACACCCAAAAGCCTAAGCAGCAAAACAACTGCTTTGACCTCGAGTCCCCTTGCCACACGCTCGATTGAAGCCACATGCTTGCAGAATTGCTGCGGACTCACAGCACACGAAAAATCAACCCCAAGCTCGCCTCCCAAGAATCATTGAATATACTGCTGAATCATGCAACCGCGCAACATCCCAATCTAGAATGTATCCAGACTTCATCTGCGTGCAGCGCCCGATGCCCGGAAGTGAAACAGTGTCATTTGCAGACGGTGTCATTTGCAGACTCGGCCTCACATCTTGGGATTGACCCAGGTGAGGGGATTAAAAAGCGATGATTCTCACCAAGGCACAGCTACGATGGGGACACGTCCTTCAAAGGATGACCATGCTTGACATGTTGCGGTGCAGGCCGTTGTCCAACCACATCTTAAGAATTGCAGTCCTCCGCATTCTGGTATGGTTGGATCTTGTCCGCCTGCGCTCCGCGTTTGCAGTTCCTCATGCAGTTGTTGAGCCAATGCAAAGGCTCAGGCAACGAATTTGAAAGCAATTGCTAAGACCAGGAACGTCAAACCAAAGAGCAGCGGAAGGCAGCAGGCAGTTCGAAAGCTTGAGGCAAGGCAACTGCCGATTCCAATCTTGAATCTGAACCACTGCAAACCTGGAAGACAGAGCACATGCTGAGGAACCCGAGAAATTTGCCAGTCTGAAGCTTCTGCCTGTATTGGGCCACCTGTTGCGGGCCGATGCAGAACTGAATGCCAAAACTTAGGACACAAGCGGCCAATCACCTCTGCAAGCAAGACGCAGGTCGTAAACAACGCTGCCCTCCTGCAGCACAGGGAACGGCATTGGCTTCAAGTGGCCAACCCTCTTGTATTGAACCGCTCCAAGACTTCAAGCTCTGAGATTTGGAGATCAGTCGAAGCGTTGGAAGATCAACTGAGACAACTGCGGATCGTGTGTGACTGAAAGCCGATGATGCAACAGTGTGGGGCTAAGGGCTCAAAGATGAAGTTAAACCTCCTGTTCAAAGAGGACTTGGGTGTCCACATACCAGAAGGAAGTTCAGGTAAAATACCGAGCAGTGAGCCGAGTTGCCTTGAGCCGGATGCCCTCCACAACAGCATCCATCCAGCGATTCTTTGAATCGCTCCAGTACTGCACCTGCCAGCACCCAACTGTTGTTGAACCACACTCTTGCTGCAGCTCCCATCATGCGCATTATCATGTTATGACGACTCCCTGAACTGGACTTAGCTAACTTGGAGGACACGGCCAGAACCATCAACGCACCTGGCTTCTCTGAAGCACTTCAAGAGCAGCAGTGAGCTGGACATGAACTGGGCTAGATTGAAAAATGTTGATGTTGTCCTGGCGTCACCCTGTGCAGTGGCTGTGCCTGCTCTCCCAGCGCAAACCTTGCTGTCTCCTGCAGCGCCTTGGATGATGACGGCGTTCAGGAACAAAACGACCAGCACAAAAGAGCTTGACATGGAGTGAATGGTGCTGGAAACAAGGTTACTCTTCCGCCTCTGCTATTCTGTTCAACTTCCTTCACGTTCAGGGCAAGGACGCTCTGTGTGAGGCTTTACGGTATGGCAGCCAGAGAGGGATTTGCACCAAATGCGATGCCATCTTCACTCTGTACCAAACTCTGTGCAGCGAGACCAGGGCGAACACAAGCATATTTTTCAGGACTCTCAACGCACGAACGGGGCTAGCGATACGGGTTGTCAAGAATACGTGGCTCTGCGGCTGACATGATGCAAGGAGATCCTGTGCCTGGGTTTGCGCTGGGCCTTGTCCTTGTCGCGTATCCCCCATACGGCATCGATAATTGGGAGATGTCGAGTAGCAGGATCCAGCGGCAGCTGGGTCGCTTGCATCGGCAGACCTGTCCAGCACCCTGAGCCTGCGCTATCCCCTCCATACCATTCAAACTGCATCCCTGCTTGAGCCTGAAGCTCCGCGTGTTGTGATCAGAGATGCTAGACTGCTAGACTGATAAGAATGTATCAGTGTTGGCCACATCCAGGCCTTGGCTTTGGCCCAACCTGTCCGGAGCTCCAGCCTTGCTGTGGATGTTGGGTTTGGGAGAATTGGTGTGCGAAGGCTGTGCAGCCAGTGCTGAGTTTCTATCACGCAAACTAGGGCTTCCGTTACTTCGGACTGCCTTGCTGAAATTGAACATGGCATGTGGTTGCTGAAATCTGCAATTTCTAGTAGTTCAGGTGAATCTCAGGCTTGGCTTCAGAACGGAGAGCTGATGAACTTGCCCACAGCCCTACCCTAAAGCCCGAAGTGACAAATTGTACATGCCGCAAGTGGCGGCAGCACCACCGCCATATCCGGCCATGCGAGCACCTGGCACATTTTGACGGTTAGTGCTCCGAATGCCCCGACTTCTGCGGCTTTCCTGAAGCTTGCAGAAAGCACAAACCTAGTTGGGTTCTGCCGCTGCATCGCTCAGGACGCTGACTACTATGAAGCTGAGTTTGCACTCCCCTTGAACAGACAGCCACCCGAGTCCCACGCGTCGCTCTTCAGGAAACTCGGTGAAGGACTTGGTGACAGTCGGCATGACGTCATCCTCCTGTGGTACACATAGCACAGGACATCGAAGATTCTACATTTTCTACTTTCTGCTGACACTGCTACTGCTCACATCTTGCTCACGAACATGGGTGAATGGTAGGCGTGACTTGGCGCTGACAGGTATTCCGCAACAGGCGTGTTGCAAAAGCTGCTGCGCCTCCGCAAATTCTTCTTCGCCATCTTCGTAGTACTGCGCAAGTGCGGGAAGCTTACCCAGTATCTCTCCCTCAAATTGGGTCCCAAGATGTCCCAAGCATAGATCTTTGCTCGCAAGTCCACTGACAAGAGGTGTGGAAACCAGAACCAGAAGCTGCTTCTTCAGCACTGCCAAGGCTTGCTTGATCATGCAAGAAAGGAGATGTGTGCAGTTGGAATGCCTAAGCCAAGCGAACGATAACACCATGACCCCGTTGTCCCGCACCAGTCCTCATCGTCGAAATCATCATCGTGGTGTGCTAACTCCTGGACCAGAGTACAAGTCCAGTCAGCGATTGGGCAATGAAAAGCCACTAACGCCCTTGCCAAGACCTTCAGGGCACGTACTGTGTCGCAGAAAGCTCCCAGCGCCCCCCCCCGACACCATAGCGCACCTGCAGGGCCTGACTTATGGTCATCTCGCCTGGCAAGATCTCCTGGCAGGGATGAGGGATACTTAGGGATGTAAGGGCCTTAAGTGTTTTCAGTCTTTGGCCTTGGGCCTTGTGGTTTGCCGCTTGTGAGCCTGACCTCTAATCAAGGCTTGTCCCGACTCGCCGCCCAATGCTTCTTTCTATCAAACCCCACATGCACTAGAACTCCCGTTGTCTGGCCTGCCTGCGTTGGCTTGCGGTCTTGTGACAGCTGCTGTCTCGTTGTGCCGCGCAAACCCCAACTACGGTCATGCGGCTTGTGCTGGCCAGGCCTGATAGCTGGCCCCGCAAGCCGGCATCGGGCACTGGGTCATGTCGGGGGTCCTTCCTGAGTGTTGCAAAGCAATCTTCGATTTGGCATCATTGGCTAGTTGACCGCATAGACACGAAGGGGTCTCAGCAGTTTAAGGCAAAGTCACATCAGGCTGGCATTTGGCTCATCCACTGCAGAGGGAGCCCCATTTCACTGCGCGAGGTCGCTCATCAGTACCGACGTTGGTTTGCTAGCCAGATTAAGAAGAGGACTAGTGACTACCATGAACCGTATGCAGCGAGGCACTCGTTGAGCCGCATCTCACGCACACTCTACCTTTGCAACAGGATTTCTGAAGGCTTCAAACGTTTCCATTTCTCTGCGTCCGGCTACTCTGAACACTTGAGCATGCATGCGCTTCGCTGATGAAAAAGTAACAGGGTGAGGGCAGCTCCGGCGGTTTCCACGCTACCTGGTGAGGTTCGAGTACGCAGTTTGTCCACCATACCAGATGGCGGGACGGCGGGAAATTCACGTTTCATGCAATGAGCGGCATACTGCTGACGCCTGAAGCTCAAACGGCAAAGTCATTACGTCCTGCATGACCCCCAAACAGCCAGAGCTCCTGCTCAACTCTGACGCAACTCAACTGCTAAGGCACACTCTGAAAACTCCTGTAGCTCCTTGCCACTTTGCCTGCAAGCTCAGTACGCCCAACGCAAAAGCCTGCTGTTGCTGCTTGCATCCTTCAGCAACAGCAAGGTTTTGCGCCAAGAGATGTGAAGTATTTGCATCTAATAGACATGCCATCTCCAGTATCCCCCCAACAATTCTAGGTCCAAGTACCAGGGCCTATGAAGGCAGACCTCGCGTATTAGTGGGCCCTGTGGCCAACAAAAGTTCCTATGAAGGCAGAACCTCGCAAATTAGAGGTCCCTTTGGCCAACAAAGGTTCTGTACCCTAAACCCTAAACCCACTGTAGTAGTTTCCATTTCATTTTCCATTATCCCAATATTATCCCAATATAAGCCATGCTGCGGAGAAGGATGTTCTCCAGCAGGTCATCATCCTCCAGGCCCTGTAGGTCTGAAGCATTGCCCACCTGGAAGAACTTTCTCCGCAACTGAAAGCCCCAAAAAGGGCAGGGCAAATGCCGAATTTCAGGAATTTTGGAAAACCCTTTGCAAGCAGTCATCTCTTTTGAGGTTTGCTCAAACTAGGGCACCCTTACTCGCTGGCAAATGCAAGAAAAACCATGGGGACCGATCTTCATGATGATTTCGGAAATTCCTTCGAAAGACATTGCCTTGTGAGTGCGAAGTAGGGACCCTGTAGTGGACCTGCCTGAGGCCTGGACAAATCAAGCACAAGCTGAACATTCATACAGCGGTTCCATAAATGGAAGGCAGATGAGGGCAGCAATATGGCCATGCACACCTCGTTGTAGGGACTCCCCCAAAAAGAACCACCACTCATGGAAACCCCCCATTGGATTACTCTTATGCCTTCTACTGCTTGGAATTGTCCCTGCACTCCTACTCGATGCACAAGAGTTGTCATACTGCCACGTCAGCCGACAGCATTGCCAAGGTACGTAGTTGCCATCAATGAAGACCTGAAAGAAACACGGACATTTCGTGCTGGGGTGTGTTAAAGTGCAGGTTGTGGCCATTAAAAATCCATTTCCGCAATTTGACCCAGTTAGCGTTGTGTCTCGTATGCTGCACTAACACTGCCATTGAGTCTTAGTGAACATTCGGTCCTGAGTCCTGAAGTAATACATAACATGCTGAACCCTGGGCTTCGAGTTTTAGAGTCCAAAGGCCTGCGGAAGGATCAGGTCGTTGTTGCCACCGGTCTGAAGCCTCCTGTCTTCCATCAACTTCTGGATTGCCTCGGCCATGCTCTTGGGATCATGATGTCCGGCCGTGGCTCCAGTTCGCACCACTGGCTTGCTTGTAAAAGGTTTCAACATGATCAGCCCCTAGCGTTGAGATACTGGATTTTTGGTCAACACGCCGTGCTGTTTCAGTCTCCAAGCTGGCAGATCAAGAAGGATATCTCAAATCCCCCCGAACCTAGTGCCACACACTGGCTTCAAGGGCCCCTGTGTGCCGTGAAACCAACATAGTCATGAACCGCCTTGTTCTCGGCATCTCCAGTCCCAGCTTGTCTCGCATCGCGGTTGAAATCGATGACTTTGTGGTGGACCTTGTGTGCAGAGACAAGGTGGAAAGAAAACGAGCACAAGAATGCAACGCGCTCCGGCATTCAATCGTTGCAACAACTGAGGCGGCCACGCCCTTGATCTCAAGAAGGTCCTCTTCAGGAAGCAAGCTCGTCGGGAGAGAATGATTGATAGTCAAGATGTCAATATCGATCTATGCTCAAGCGGGGAATGCTGTACTTCTTCTTTCAGGTACTCTCTTGGACTCTCCAGCTTGCGAAGCTGCACTTGGCAATTTCCCACATGTTGCACACATGTTTCACCGGGCAGTCCCTCGCACGTTTACCCGCGTTGTACTCCACACGCTTGGCACCAAGTGTGGTGACCAAAACCACGACTTCGGCAACATACCTTGTGCGAAAAGACTTGTCTCGAGGCAGGTCATATCACAAGCACGTTGTGCACCTGTGGAAAAAGAGGGGTCCCAGAAACTTCCTGCTAGTTGCCAAACTTCACTGAAACAAGGCACCTGATCTCTGGCTGCACCCGCACGGGCCCAGATAGCATGTTGCCCCACTCAGCAAATGGCTGAGGGTAAAGGCATGGGGACAACTGCCTAGGTCCTGGGTCCTAGGTATTGAATTGCCTTTGGTTCTATGGCAAGGTGCGGGATATCTTCCGAACTAGCGACTGCTGCTCAGTAGCTCGGCTTGAGGCAGTAACTTCTTGAAGCCTTCGTCAATTTTCGTAGCAGAATGATTCGTCTGCTCAACTGCTCTTCTGAGCACTACATCAAACTATCTGTTAAAACACAATTCAGGTGGAAAACCTGACTCGGTTGCTCACCTCATCTACAGCAACTGCTGTCTTGTGAGCCGAAAGAGTCTTGAGGACAGGCCCATGTCCCTGACCAAAGCCTAACATCAATAGCCTGAATGAGGCACTTTGGTTGATTGACAGGTTTTCTCTTGAATGTCATGAGTGCTGGCGGCTGGTAATCAATCGCAAAACAAGGCAACCCGAAGCGTGCTCTGTCTGAGAAAACGACAGACAGACTAAACTGATTCCTCGCGCTGTAATCTCTCTTGTCAACCTCCAAGCCCACAAGCCCTGGCATCCAGAACATCGGCAGCTGCGTACTGTCAAGCGTGGATGGAATGCCATTGCCTCCGCTCTTTGGGCCTGCAGAACTCAAGCATCTGAGAATCAAACATGGATCTTGAGAGCGAAACGGAACCGCAGGTGTTTACCGAATGCAAAGTGGGGATGGACATCAAGTCCGGCAGCCTCCCAAAGCAACTGCAAAACTTGAAATCTACGCGAGAGCACCAGCGCGGAAAGCAATTATTCAAGGGACATCAAGCTCCAAGATCCCTTCCCCATAGTAGTTTCCATTTTCTTTTCCATTATCCTTATATAATCCCTATATAACCCCAATATATACCCTATATAATCCCTTCCCTAAGTGAAGCCCCAAGATGGCCTCCAGCTCCACTGTTTTTCACCGGATCTTGGAAACGGGCAGCTGGCCTCAGCGGGAGCAAAACGCATCCCACTACCCAACGGAACCGCTTATAGGAGCCTTCACCCCCCCTGTAAAGGGGGAATTATATTGTAGTATATTATGGTATATTACAACTTCTTATGGTATGTCATAGCATGTTATAGTATATTATAGTATATTAGGGCCTATAGGGACGTCAAGGCCCCTACTTGTGTCTCCTGGGCTGCCAAGTGAAGCCCCCATGGCGCTGGATGGCCTCACCGGATACCAGTTTTCCGCGAGACCAAGTTTTGCGTTGCCCCTAAAAATGGGTGGACCCCACTATAAACCAAAATAGACAATAATCCTCACTAATTATGGGGAACCCACAAAACGGTATCCTAGTTATGGGAAACCCCCACAACACAACTTGCCCGACTCTGTGGCTGGCAGCATCCCAGGCCTCGTTCAGCAACTTGTGGCCGCGGAAGCCATCCTGAAGATGCCCCAACTGTTGCCAACTTTCCTAAACCCTAAAACCCTATGAACCTCAAGCGCATCAACTTTCTAAAAACTGCCAAGCGGAACTGCATCCAACGAACCCTCTAACTTTAAAGCTTCAGCACAAGGGGAGTGCTCCAGAAAAACATGACTCTCAAGCTGATGTGGCTTTGTTGGAGACTCTATGGCTGTACGTCGTAGAGTCCTACTGTCGATCGCTACCGACAACTACACTGAACCCACCTGGTACATTCAAACGAAGTGGGGTTGCACCGGTATGAATTCGGTCCCATGAGCTGCTTGCAGCCATACCTACCTTCCCTGCTTAGTCACACCAGACACAGCTTCAGCGGCTTACCAATGCCGGGGCATTGCAAACAAACGAATCGAGCGGCGATTGCAACTGAACCTCCAACCTCAAAAATGCACAGTACAATATACTATATAGTAACTTCCGTTTTCTTCTCCATTAACCTTGTATAAACGCAATGTACTACATAGTAGTTTTTGTTTTCTTTTCCATTATCCCTGAAGCTCAGCAAGTGCGAAAGACTCAACTTGGTCGTCGTATAAATGACCATAATATACTATAATTTACTACAATATGCAATAATATATCATGAAATACTCTAAAATACCATGATATACCATAATATACCATAATGTACTAATTTACTATGTTATGATGTGTTGACATCACAGCCTCACTGCCCCCACCGGCTGTCTGAGCTGCCATGGCAAACTCAAACTACGATCCAGCTGACTTGTTCTGATCGATATAAAGCTTGGTAGGGTTAGGGTTATATACGGGTATATACGGCTATATAGGCGTATATATGGTTGTATAGGGGTATATGAGGTTTAGGGGATGTGTATGTATGGCTTCAGTCCTCGGACACTCAATTAGTAGTTCGACTGAAACATCTGGTGAAGCACTTGGTTTTGCTGCCTACTCAAAGTTATATGGTCGAATTCTGCTGCGTCGCATTTTCTTGCTTTGTCTGTGGGGGTTGAGGGCTCAAGATGTGCAAGCCAAATGCTGCCAGGTGGCACCTGCAGGCTGCTTGGTTGGTCTCTTTTGGTTATATACGGATAATGGAAAGGAAAATGGAAACTACTACATTGGAATAGAGCTTTATTGGGATTGTGAAGGGATTCTATAGGGATTGTGATTCTCTATGGCAGTTTGAAATTTGAGCCATGGCACCAGACATAGAACGTCACTCAAGGGGATCAAAGGAGTGGCCATGTTTTAGAACATGAAGATGCTTGGCAACATAGGCTTCAGCCACCAATGATCTTGCATAGGGTTGACTTTTTGGAGCGAATCCTTGCTTCGGACTCAAAGCAAGCTCAGAGCGCTGCCCGCGCTTGGAGAATCAGCTCACCTCAAGAGCAACGAGGGGAACAACGGTATAGGTATCGGTATAGGCTGTGGCTTTCGGGACAACTTCAGCTTATCAGAAACCTCAGATTCGTCACAGGGAGCATCTAAGATGAACTGGGTAGATGCAGCAGACGGGGCTGGAAGAGGACTCCATTTGAGCCAGAAAGGCAAGGCGTCTGCAAGGTCGAGTACATGACGGCCATCATGCATGCTTGAATTTCGGGAGTACATCACGCACCCGCTCATCAAGCAGCACCTTTAAAAAGGGGCAAAAGATGAATGAACACATCAGCCAAGCGACGTATCATGGGATCACTCGTGTCCTCTGCGGGTGTTCGGCCCTCCAGCGAAAGCAGATGATAAGCTTACAGTCTCGCTTTCTGGCCATGACTCAATGTTTCCCACGACTGGGCCTCATGTTCTGGCACTCCCTCAGGCTGTCATCTAGCGATTCTATGCCTGCGAGTCTTTTGACCTGGCCTGCGGTGCATGCAGTATAGCTAAACTCCTATCAGCCCACATGCCCAAAACCACCCTGCGCACAATGTCATAAATCTGGTCCCCACAGCTGTCATAATTACGATCAACATCTGCCTTCCGGTCCAAGGAGGTGGTGCTGGCTCCAGCGGCCAGCATGAGTTTCACTGCCTGAGAGTGTACGGGCTCTACCCTGGGCTCTATGCGCCACCCCAATGGCATTTATAAATCGATCGGTAGGCTCTTGCCTTTGGAGGCTGCTTGAAGCAGTGTGATCTGAGGTTTCCCTCTATTCGTTTGCCTACCTGCTCGGCTTCATCACACACGCCACGGAAAAGCCTTCATCCCTGAACTAATCCCCACACGAACCTCCGTGTTCTGCTTGAACGCTGCGAAATGCAGTGGCGACTGCATCTTCTCATTTGGCGCGTCAAGATCTATGGTCGACGCCACTCCGAGCCTAGGAAGTTTCAAGCTGAAGGAGTTGTCAAGACGCCAGTTATCACGGTCCGGTGTTCAATGACTGCGCAAGATATGGTGTAGAATCAAAGGCCGGACGAGCCAGACGGTCACCTGACTTCAAATCGCACAATCACAAGCAGTCGTGCATGAAGGAGGGTAAGTGCCTGTTGGCAGACACCCATATATGTTCCGGAGAACCCGAGAAGCCGCCGATGCAATGACGTCAAGCGACAGGACTCGTAACACTGAGTCATGACCGCGGCGGCAAGCTCGAGAAACAGCAGTATTGCCCAGGTATCCTGCAGCCGTGATCATTTGAAGCACATGTAACTTTGCCAGAACTTGCCTGCAAGAGGCAATCCACTGGAAAGAAAGCCATGGCAAAAGTCTCAAGACAGGAGGCTATTCCAGCACATACAACCCAGTCTCCGGCCTTTCACGTTGACATCCACTCCTGCAGCCAGTAGCGACTCGACCACTTCCACCTTGCCAGCATCGGCGGCCCACACCAGCCTTGGCTCCACCATGACTGTTCTTACTTCTTACTGGTTCTTGGTAGGGAATAAAGGAATATAGTATATATCATAGCTATCATATACAGATGATATACTCGTATTCCCCACTAAGAACCAATAAGTCTCATTACTGGACTTCTTCTGCGGCATAACCATGAATGGCATGTCACCCCTGCAACTCTTTCAAGGAACGAAACCGCCTTGGAAACCCATGGGAATGACAAGGCATCCTTCATCCCTGGACTTTTGTTCTAAGTCCTCCAATCCAACATGCGCAAGCAGCGGGGTGTTGCCACTTGCGTCAGCAGTCAGAAGGTCCTGCAAGACTCGAACAAGGGGCATGGCATTAGGCGGTCCCAAAAACATAACGGCAGACCTTGAGGAAAGCAAATCACCCTGAGTTCATGCAACATACCCGGACGATCCAGGAAGGAAACTTGTCACAAAAAGTGTCATTGGCATCTGCGACTGCTGGCCTAGGAATGTAATCTCTAATTTTCCCGTGAACCAAGTTCACCTGCTTTGCCATGGCTTGCACGGCGACAACATCGCCATCAGCTGCCGCACGGCACGCAGCAGTCTGCGGCACCGGCTCCTCAACAACAGTGCAGCTTTCCCAAAGCCCTCATCATTTAAATCGGTGTTGGCGTTGCAGGCATCCTTTTGATAGCAAGACATTACGTGCCCCAGAGACAAGCCCGTGGTGCACATTGGACAGCCCAGTAGTATCTACATGATCCGTATTCAATGAAACTGCACTGCTGTCCTCAAGCTACTGTCCTAAAGTGCTTGTGGTGCCCCAAAATCCGGTGCAGCCAGAGCTCAGTCTTCTTGACGAGTGTTTGTGCAGATGTTGAACCAAGTGGGCCTGGCAAACGACTTACAGCCTTACGGCTGCTGAATCTTGACATCCACCTCTTCATTTTACGGCACGCAGCCAGAGCAAACGAGGTCCCTTTGAGAGTACAGACCCTCGAGCCATCAAGCACCGAACCACTGATCGACTGGATGACTGGACTGCGTGGCAGTAACAGCATGCCTGGGATGTCGTAATGCTTCCAAAGGAGACTTGGCAGTTGAAGAAGACTGTCGATGACAAAGTCAGCACCTGCCAAACCCAGAGTTGACAGGCAGAGAAATGCTGCACTTTGACCGCGAGAAGAAGACCACACTGACAGCTGCGGACGTCCCTGTCAATGTGCAGATGCGATGCCAATAGTCCTAACATCTCCCTCGGTGCCCGCCGTCCGCTTCCAATCATGGCGGAGTGGCCATGACTGGCTTCCTCAGATGTCAAGATGAAGGCCGTGCAAATATATGGATGTATAAATATATATATATATAGATTTCGGCAACAGTGAGAGCATGGTAGAGCCGTTCCCAAGCTGGCTGCCAAGGCTCACCTTCACGAAACCGGCGCCCAGGGTCGACTAAAGCAGTGGACACTCCAGCGGCTTTGCCAAAGCCTATATCCTTGATTGGAGGGGGTCAGGGGGACTTTGTAAGTAGGTTAATACTGGGGATAACTAGGGTTACTATATGGCTAATAAGGGTTATTAACCTACTTACTAAGTCCCGCAGACCCTCCGAGTAAGGACAGAGGCAGGATAGGCAGGCGCAGGAGGTCACCGGTCTTGTGCAAATCCAGCTCGTATGGGGGTGGTTACGGCATGCGAATGAAATAACGAAACAGCGACCTGTTCCCCTTATTATAAGGACACCCAAATACTATAGTCCTTCTTATAGGGACTAGAGTCCGTCTTACAAGGACCCCAAACAACACCCAAATACTATAGTCCTTCTTAAATATGGGAACACCCAAAAACTATGGTCCTTCTTATAGGGCCACCTAGATACTACAGTCTATAGTCCTTCTTATAGGGATTAGGGACCTCCCAAAACTGAAACAATCACCGGCCCCAGTAGGCCAAGCAGCATTCGACGGCGAGTCCCCGACCATCAGCAGCCCGGGGCCTCGTCATGTCAGAGATCTTTGGAAGATCATCACTACTATTTTGGAGGGGTCCCTATACTAAGGACGATAGTATTGGGGGCCCCTATAATAAGACTATAGTATTTGGGGGTTCCCTACAGTAAGGAATACAGTATTTGACTGTACTATTTGGGGGTCTATATTGGGCCCTAGTTTGGAAAGTGCTAAATGGAGCGTTGAAGAGACAAGCCCATGATTTGGCTGCTTGACAGGTTTGGGAGCTGATCCTGACCCAGCCCTTCACTTACTAGTTCTTAGTAGGGAAAAGGAGTATAAAGTTCAAGCCCACAGCCAGCCTAGTGGCAGATCCCACTCCTTGGCGATGGCCTGAACTGGGACATCAGGGATCCTAGGAAATCCTAGGCTGCACGTGATCTTAGAAATGCTTAGAACCATTCATGGATGGCTCTGTTGACCTTTTCAGTTCGCAGAATTGCGCAGCCTAAGTTAATCATGTCATGGAAGAGAGACGGAGAGAGGAAGAGGAGAAATTCTCTAAGTGACTCTCTAGAATAGAAGCTCGCTTGTTGCGAATTCACATAAGCCGGGCCTGGAGCGCGGCTGGATGGGGCTTATCATGCTCCTGCCCAGCATTGCCCGGTTTAGTACAGGGGTTGGCAGAATGCTATCACATGACGTGTACTTGTAGCAGAGAGACAGCGGATTGAAAAAACATCCACACATGCCACAAGTGCAGTCAAACGAGCAGAAGGGTCACATTGAGATCGTTCACATGCAATCTTCTACATCAGAAACACTTCTAGCGATTTTCTTTCCAAAGCTTCAGACAAAGGCTGGCTGCTGCACCCCACCCCTTTGCAAAAGGCAACTCATCTCGGGTGCTCCACGTCGTCTCGGCTAAGCGCCGGATGGAAGGCGGGGAGGCCAGCAGAGCACCAATGTCGTTCCTAACATGGGACATGGCGGGACTCGCAAAGCCGTGACCGCGACTTGTTTTGTGGCAGGTACCCAATTTTGATTTGCGTCGGTTGAAGTTCAACTACAGGATTTTGGTTCAGGTCGCACGCACGGGATATGAGAACAGAGCGCGCTTGATCTATGCCGAGGTGCGTGCAACCATTGGACGGTAGAGGCCGAGTTACCTGAGCTTCTGCTAATCATGTGGGCTGTCCTCAAAATTATGGGCCCCTTTTGGTTATGGATAATATCACGGCACCTAATACTTAGGGGTACCAAGATGGGACCCTAATCTTGGTAACTCCCCAAAGGAAACTGCAGGACCACATGGAGCCCTTGGCTTCCACCTGCACAGGCAGTCCGAGCTGGAGGGCTATTCACCAAATCTCAACCCTGAATCAGCATCAGAGCCGCGTCTGCTTACAACCGGATCCCATGTCATCCTCCAAGCTTCAAGTAACTTTGCAGCCCCTCCCTCCAAGGCAGGCAACGTGTGACCAGGCCAGTTGGAATTCCATGCCTGACATTGAGCATGCTTGCAGCTGGCAAAGCTAGTCTCAACAGATGAAGGGGAGCTCTTGACTGTGAGTCCTGCCTGTGAAGCCAGCGTCCGAAATCCAATGCCCCCTCGGCGAGCTCCAACGTTCGGCGGCCATCCGCCTCCATCTCCTGAGCTCTCAAAGGCTTGCAGCCTTGGCCATCACTTCTCCAATCTTCGAGGTCCTCGATGACGTCCCAGGCAACCCGCTTCTGATCTGGGCCCATCTGCCGAACCGCAGCCAGCAAGTCCTTCTCTTCTTGGAAAGGGCAGTTGCAAAAAGCTGCAAAGTACGTAGAACCTGCATGGAGAGTCACCAGGCCTCGGCCAACGTGCAGTTGGGAGTAAGCAATGCAACGACCTCACAACGACCCTGCGCTGCAGACCTGACCACAAGGCGGTGCCTATCGCGACAATTGCCATCATTGCCATCCAGGCGAACCGTGAAATGATGTGAAATGGAAAGCCAGTGCAAGCCCCTACGAATTCTAACACCTGAATGCCTTGGCGAGTCCTCCTTCATGGGCACGCCGCATCTCTCCTGCATCTGGCTGCAACAAGGGGTGGAAAAGATCAGCGTCAACTATTAGAAGAGAAGTGATTAGTGGACGCTGATCGGGTGGAAAAAGACCACCTGAGGGTGAGGTAGCCCAACCCCTAGTAAGGCAAAGGTCTTTGTCTTCGTCGTGTAAGCATGACAAGGGCTCTTGGCCGCGTCACAGGTCCAAACAGATGCAAGGACCACTGCCCGAAGCGCGAGACCCCTTCTCAAAGCCCGGCTTGAGGAGCTGCTTGCCGCAAAGGAGCATGCATCTGACGAAAATCCAAGTTGGGAACCTCAGAAACACTATGAAACTCCTTCGGCACCGGTCTTTGCAGAGAACTGCGTAAAAACAGCTTCGTTCAGCGCAAGGTACGGTCAGCGTGCCGTCCAAGTCGAAGACCACACCACGAAGAAGGGGTCGACCGGCTGCAGTCGCCATGTGCCGTAGCGGGGATGCTAAGGCACGCATGAAGCACGGCCAAACACTTTCAGCACGCCTAGCAGAATCGTCAAAATCTCTGATGGCTTCGATTCCCAGTCACTATATGTCACTATGTCGACATGCCTGTGCATGAACTTAGATGCTCAATTGGGCTTCTGGCTGCAAGGCTGATCGAGCCTCAGAGTGTCAAATCTGAAGCCTGCATCCAGCAACCTTACTTCTGTGTCTCGGTGTCATCTGACACGCATCAACTTTTCCGTAAATTCTGCCAGTTCACGTGTATGTAAGAGAACTCTGCGATTCAAGTCGAAGTGACCGCGTCCGGCCTGTCGCGAAGACCGAGTGGAAAATGCCCCGACTCACGCAGGGGATAGAGGGAACTGGAGGAAGCCGCAAACCATAGGAGGATGTATGGATTCATGACACTTCATGTTCATTGGCTAAGGCAACAAAGAGGCAACCTCAGGCACATCATGACCGCTTCTGCGAATGACCACCCAAAGTAACAAATTATTTGACTGCGTCCGAGCATGGGTGGTGCTAACACTTGCTTATTGGGTGGACAAGCCGCATTGACCTGTACGAGAAGTTCTTCGAACTAAGCACTTCAGAAGATGGACAGCTCCTGACAACCTACGCTGCAGGCATTGCCGCTAAAGTGTTGGGATGCCAGGCATGTGCTGTGTATCAACTCCATAGGACAGCCAAGAAGTAATGGCGCACACGCATGCTCAGCACGCAGCAGGACATTACAAAGCGCCTCAGCGCCTACCATGTTTTTTGAAAGTTTTCTGCACGTCGATGGCAAATTTGTCTAGGAAGCCTGGCCACTTGGCACGATTGCCGGCCGTGACGTCTCGGCAGGCCTCAACTGCGACAAACATTTTTGACAAGAGGGACAAGAAGGGGGCTGAAAGACAAGGCCAAGCAATGAGCTGCATGCCCTGCCTGCGGCTGCCTCTTGCGAAGCTCATCCAAGCACATTTTCAGGGGCCGGGTATTCTCCGTAGTAAGCTCTGCCTGTGCCGGCACAAGCGAGGAACGTGCCTTTTTTTGCATAAGGCCTGCTTCAGTACATACATGCTTGACTCAGGACGACCTGAGCGCCACCCTTCACAAATTTGCAGCTCGCTCAAGATGCTCATGCTCGCCAGGCCTGCCGTGCAGCCAGCTCATCAAGCATGACGGAGAAGACTTGGAGGCTGTCGCTCTGCCATGGGAGGATCGCAAGGGACACAAGGGCGGACATGATTACTTGCGTCTTCCAAGTCCTAGCTTGCGAGAGGAGGATGTCAGTCGCAGCCGCTGACAAGACCTGGACGGCTGCCAACAGCTCCGTCTCCATGTGACGACGATGCTTGCACAGCACCGCATAGGCCCACAGCAAGTTCGTGATTTCGTAGGGCTCGCAGCTGCTCAAATCTGGCGACACGGCGAGACTTTGGGCAAGCCGACCAAAAAGCGAAGCTCGCAAGGAGCGAAGGCTCGCTAATGACCAGGCAATGACTGTGCAACACTTCGCAGGCATTTCGCCAGGCTGAGCCAACATCTTCTCTGCGGCGCGGACAAGCCGCAGAAAGTCGGCATGGTGCTTCACTTGCTCGGTCATATCAGGACTTCCCTGACAAGCCCGACAAATGCGGTGGAGTGCCGTAGACACGTTCACCCCGTTCATCTCCGCCAGCTTTGAGGACACAAGCCGCAACACCTGACAGCACAGGTCGTGCAGACACAGAGATCTCTGCAAATCTGTCTGCATCTCCCACCTGAAAAGCTGCTTCAGGACCGGAGGCAGCAAGGATCAGCTCCTTGTTTAGAAGCTTCTGCGGCTTTAGGTCTTTCTCCTTCTTCTTGAGCGCAGGCGCTGGACCATGGCTCCAAGGGACGGGAAGGTCAAGGCCTCTGGTCGAGCCTCCCGACACCTCTACCGACCTAAGCTCAGTCGAGAGACGCAAAGACGTGCAGCATCGTGCAGCCCCATGATACACATGAGTGACTCGGCAAACTTGCGGTGCCACGCGACTGCAGCTGGCCGGGGCTCGAGGCGCAGCGTTTCAACTGTCCCGGCACTGATTTCGAGAAGTGCACAAACGTATTCTTGGACGGGATATGGCCAAAGACCACCTGGGCGTTGAATTTCAGAAGTGCAGCAAAACAAGCAATTACAAGGCAAGATCGTCAGCCATGCCACCTTCCAGTGCCCCACCTCGCTCATCGGGGAAGGAAATGGCGGGTTCAACTCTACTGCATTTGCGCAGCAAGGGCTCCCCACACTGCTGGTGGAAAAGCTCACCTGGTCGTCAATCGTTTCGATGCCGCGATCAGCAGCCATCAGGGCTGTCATCCCTCGATTGGGAATGCTCCTTGTCCCGTCGCTTGAAGGGTCAAGGTTTTATTGTAATGATAATGAGCCCAGATACCTGCAGGATATCAGGGCAGCTGCATTCCTAAGAGCCTACAGGAGGTCGATAAAGGAGTAGGAGGAGGCGGAGGACGAGGAGGAGGAGGAGGACCAGACGACAGCAGTAAAAGCAAGAACCCCAAGAAGAGTGTATGCAAATATCAAGAATGCGCACGCCAGAGAGACTTCCGGAACAGAAGTGCTTGCACAGCTGTTATACAAGACGACCTTGACAGAGTCGCATAGTCTGCGCCTCATGCTTGGTCCTTAGCCCCAAAAGCATGATCGGATCACCCCTGTATTACTTGCCTGGCGTAGTTGGTTCTTTGGAGACCAGCAGCGTTTGGCTACCAGCTATGGAAGCTCTTATGCTGGAGTTCTGCACTTCTGAAATTTGACCCTTGAACACAGAACCCTGCGGACTGATTTTGGCTCTGCTGCACACTACCTAGCGGGCGAACTTCGGTGCAAAGAACTTCTGGCATTTCCTTGGTATTGCCACAGGAGGCGCTTCTTCTCAGCGGAAGAGCATGGCGTCTGTTATGGCCCCTTTCTCGTTATGCTGACGACCCTAAGCATGGTCAGTCCATCATGATGACCAGATGCCGAGTTTGGTGAAGATATACTGTAAATGATGACTTCGTGTAGGGCATCGTGGACCGTGTCCTGATGAGGGCCATTTCGACAATAGGCAATCGACATAGGTCAAGATGAGTCAAGCACAACTAATAGTGCTGGTGCTGAAGCTGGCAGCTCTATGAGTCTAAGCAGCAGAATTGGTGGGTTTATGACAAGATAAGGATGGATGGCATGAAACAAAGACGAGGCTGGAGGAGTGAGTGATGATACTGATGATAAGAGCAGAGGTGATGAAGGAGATGAGAATGGCAAGGACTGTCACGACGAGGAAGATGTTACACCATGTCATGACATCGGCGATGGCCCTAAGGATGGCAGCACCAGCATCGTAAGCATGATGACCGTCATGAAGATGATGATGATTGCATGGTGGGAATACGCGCGACCACGCAGAAGCTTGCAAACTGAGGCGCGCTGACCAGCGTTAAACAACAAGTCAATTGCGGAAGGTGTCACAGCTAACAAATGCGGCAAACACCAATACCCAAGCAAAGACGGCGAAGGACATTGTCAGTTGATGAAAAGCGAATACATACCCTGACTCAAAACTGGATGATGGTTCATGGACGGCCGAAATATACGGAATGAATGGCAGATGACAGCTGACGCTACTGAGGCGAACGCTGGAATGAGACTGGACGCTTCAGGATGATTCATTGAATGCTGAACAAGAGAGGGAACCTGACAGAGGCTACATGATGCGGATGTTCAGGCCAAGATGGCACTGGCAATTGTCATGACATGCATGCTAGATGCATGCAGTTTTTGCTAGGGCCGCGCGCGTGCTTTTCTGTGCTGGCGCACGCGCTTTGGTGCCATGTCAGGGAAGCTCCGCAGGATTCGGTAAAGTTGATATGCCTGTGGTTTGGTCAGACAAGGGGCACTATCTTCTGAGAGTGACTTCTAACCAGTATAGGAACTGCATGCCCCTTCTTGTACCTTGGGTAAAGCTACGATCTCGAAAGCCCAAGCAGAACACATCATGATGCAAAGGGTGGTTGGTCTAAACTGGTGCAGTAAACTTCTGGCGTCATCTTGCACTGCATATGTTTCAGGGACTCAGAATGGCGTGGTCTGGGGGCCTCATTCCAAACTTTTGAGTTATCTACTACTATGGGACCTTTATGTCTAATGCTCTTCTGAGAACTGTAGAATTGCCCGTCAATTCTCTTGAGATCTTTATCGGTCAGGCTGAGCACGTCGAGGCTACAAGTTAAACATTTCAACAAATGTTGGCATGAACAGCCTAAGTTTGCGCTGCCTGCGTGTCTGGCACTTCCTTACTTAGCAGTCTTTTGAACGCAGATTTGGCCACTCCTAGCGGTCCTAGCCTTTGCCTGAATGCTGTCTCAAAAGGGCGTTTATGAAACGGACCTTCTTGTCGACGATTTCCACAAGTTCTCCCGAGCTGAAGAAAATGGAGTCGGGGCTTGGGTGCATGTGCTACTAGATGTGGCAGGGGAGCATCTCTTGCTGGACATCTGTGGACGAAACTCTTATTCATGGACCCTTTCCCCGAAGCTGGACAGAGGCCCAGGTAGTAAGCATTTTCAAGGGGAAGCGCTCGAACACGGAAGTTTGAAACTACAGGCCTATCTCCTTGCTATATACACCGTACAAGTTGTCTATGATACAAGCCAGAATAGTGTCTACATCAGAAGTTAAAATACGTTCCAAGCAGTTTGGTTGGCAGTTAAGTGACAATGGATAACTCCTGACAGATCACAGATCACACCATGCTCACGGTGATGACAATGGATTTTGAGAATGGCGAAGGATGGTGCATCATATATGCAGCAATGGTGGGATGATGCTGATACTGAAGTTCATGCTGATGCTGCGGGTGATGACTCCATGAGCCTGTGCGAGATGACAAGACAATTGTAAATTGCAGCTATACTTGTGATACGGGGATTGAAAATGGTAACGATGACGTTAATCAGGATGATAGTTTGTTATGATGACGATGATGATGATGACGATGATGGTGATGAGGATGATGATGATGGTGATGACAATGGTGATTATGATGATGATGATGGTGGTGATGATGCGATGATGACGCCGACGATGACGATGGCGATGGTGATGGTGATGATGATGATGATGATGATGATGATGGCAATAAACAATGTGAGAATAACAGGTGGTGGATACAGCTCAATGATGACAAGAGGTGATGAAGAATGCGAGACTAGATGACAAGCAATCAACGGGAGGTTGATGCAGGAACAAATGGCATTCAGTGGTGACAGCTGATAACCCAAAGTGCAAAATGGAAGGACTGGAGGCGATGCTGGCCGGATGGAAGGAGTGGGGGACTGGGATTAGAGAGCAATGCCTCTTCATGAGCTTCAACTCTAGCCTTCAAGGCCCTCACTTCTAAAGCACACGGAAACCAGAAAACTTGCTACCGCTGGCTTTCGTGATGAACGCATGTGATTGCAGCCGGGTGCGGCCCAGATGCTCGGAGAGGCTGCCTTTTTCAAGCTGACGCTTGGCATCGAGAACATCAGAGAGGGCATTCATCACAGTCGCTGCCATCATGTCGACAGGGAACCTTCAGGCTTGACTTCAGCATGATTAGCTTGAGATTCTACAACAAACAAAAACAAAATATTCCATCTCTTGTGAAATCAGGAAAGGCAGCGCTGAGGACGCTACCAGTATTCACCTTCCAAGTGGAACGAGTTCAAGCAGTAGGGACAGAACATCTGAGTGGCCTCGGTGTGCGTTTCACAGCTGCACCTTCGGCAAAAAGCAGAAGCCTGCGTTGGCTGAGTGGTTGACTTATGCACATATGCCCAGTGCCCTAGATCCAACTGAAATGGTATCTTGAAAAGGAGAGATCCCGATCAAACACACCGCATACAAGCTTCTCACCGTTCACACACTGGCCTGCTGGCAGTGCGGTTCATTTGCATGAGAGCAATCAGGAGGCAGTGGTTTCTCTCCTCGCACCACCTGCTTTGAGAGGCAGGATCGATTGCAACTGTCAGCAGGGTACAGCCCCTCTGACCGGTGCAGACTTCAAGAGTGTAGCCTGATGGCGCTCGCCAGAGAATAATGATAGCTACCAGTAAGTAAGTAGAAAAAGTAAGCAAGGAAGCCAGCAAGTAAGCAGGTCGCTCCGTAACGGAGTACGTTGACAGAAGATGTTAAAGAAGTCCCATCTCGTCTGGGATGCTTCACTCTGACAGCTTCTCCTACAAAGCCGCAACTGGCCATCCACGCATGCCTGATATGCCGTCTCGCCCGAGACAAGGTCCAGGGGGCTTGGAAAGAACCTCGCCAAAGAAGTGGCCACCAGATACCCTACCGGCTTCCTCGTCTGGACTCAGACACGACTCTGAAACCAAATACGTGGAAAGCATCTAGTTAAGATTTGGCTGAGCTGGTGCAGCTCGTAGGGCATCAGATTCTTGGTTGAAATCTCTGAGTCTCATTTTTCTGCGCACTCAGCAAATCAAGGCTAAACCCGCAAGCCTGAAGTGTGAACATCCCTATGCTGCTAATACTGCATCCTCGCTGGAAATCTGCTTTCAAATCTTTGCTGATGAAGCGTCTCAGCGGAGGGCGATATATCCACCTCAACAAAGCAAGCACTTCTGCAAGCCAGTGCAGTTCTTGTTGCTGCCTGCAGCCCGAAACCTGAATGCTCCATCTTTGTTCGGAGCCGTTCCACAAATGCAGACCATCTAGCCTGCTGAACAGGTGCTCGCTGCTGGAATCTGTGCTTCGCAAGCCCAGGTCACGCGCTGCTTATAAGCCGAGCTCCCAGATAACTCTCATGGTGCTAAAACATCAACGTTCTGGATGAAGTCCCCTGACCGCAGCACCCAAAGCCCCCAGACTCAAGTGTAAACTCCGCTCGCTCAACTTCCCACGACTTCCCACTGGACCACCCTGAACACGAGCTACATTGGATTTCACCCTTGGGTGCCTTTGTAGTAAAGCGAGAGAATGCATCACCAAAGCCATCGCCTCACAAGCAAGGAGCTGATCTCAAGGAAAGTACTTTAGCCACAGCCCTGCAGGCTGTTCCGGACGTCACGGTGTCTTTTCACGCACTCACCCTTGGGGGCAAGACATCTGCAACCCGACCGCTCCTTCAGAGCAGTCAAGCTGCGCGAAAAAGACTACTCCGGCTGCAGGCTTCTGTATGCAACCTTGAGGTACACTTTACTGTACTGGGGGTTAGTAGGGAATAAGGGGATATAATTCCTGTATGATACCTACATAATACATGTCCTTGTTCCCCACTAACCCCCAGTAAGAAACAAGACGTGACAATACGCAGGTTGCTTCTCATTTTTCTTAGCGGGATTTTCCCGTACGCACCACAACCGTCATGAGGAATCCGTGGGCGGTGATTTGCACTGAGGGCTCATGTATGCCCTAAGCAAGAGCAGTACTCCTGAATAGTTCTGAAAGCACGGCCTGTCTGCGGGGCCTGCAATACATCAGAAATGCTGCTCAACAGCGATCAATGGGTGTTCCAGCGTCCTAGATTGAGTATCCAACCTGCACGGCGCCAGCACCCACTTCAAAAAAAACTCTGGAGACAGGACCTACTGGTATGCTACTCCTTTCAGAACCTGAGGGTTGAGGGGTGTGCTGACTGGGCTTTGTCGCATCCTCAAAAGGCGCTTCTTCAGCTGCTTGGTTCTCCTCTTTGCTGCGTCCACGCTGGCGCCGCAACTTTCTCGTGAGATGCTTTGCCTCCCAGGATTCAGGCTGAGCTGGTGCTGTGCTGCTTGTGCAAGAAAATGGTTCATGTGATGTAACAAGGTGCTGCAAGGAACTCTGCTCGTGGGTCTAGTGATGTGCCCGTTTGTGGCATGGCAGAAGTACAAAGTAAAAACGCCATCTGCTTCCCAACGGTCTTGTCTTGAGTGTGGCTTGTCTGGTGTTGGAAACGGGCGTGAACCAGCGTCAGAAAACGACAGCCTGGTCTCTTACTTCAAAGCCAAGGTATCTCATTTCAGCAAACAAATTTGATAGTTTCCCTAAATAGGTGGACCCCAATATAAACCCAAAGATAATCCTTATTATGGGGACCCCACAAAGGTACCCCCCATTTTTCAAACCCCCATTTTCCACCTTTTCAAAAGGCCTTCAACATGAAAAAAGGGAGGCCTTCGCCAGGGTTGGGCCATGGCAAGCAAATTTGGAAACCTAATCAGAACTCGTCCTGGCCTTCTGCTGATCTCGACGAGCAATGGCACCATCGCAGAAGTGGCAGAACAAGCAAGCATCTCCGCGCTTGCAACCAGCTGCCTTCACCGCATAGAATCTGCAAGGCTGGCAACGGCCTGCCTCATGCAATTCCCACCCAGTTGTCTGATTCCTATCCTGCCCAGCTTCTTGTCCATCTTCGGGTCTGTCATCAATGAGATTTGCTTTTGATGAGCCCTCTGCGGGTGCGGAACACGAGCGACGCCAAAACGAGTCCAAGTCCTCCTCATCTAGGCTATCCGTAAATTGGAGGAATGAGTTCTTGACTGAGCAACTCTGCAGAAAGTGGACTCCCTCAGAAAAGCGTTCCATGGCAAGAAATCCACAATCTTCTACAGTTCTCTAGGCCAAGCTGCGACAAATTCTGAGAGCTTTCCCACCATGCAATTGCTGAGTTGCGTGAAAGCAAAAACACTACACAGCTATGTAGACCATGGAGATGGACTACGCCAATTAGGCATGAGGCTACAGGGAGGCCTCTTTCCAGCACCTCACAGACGCCGCCTTTGCGTCCGGCCTGCATGATAGCCTGGCGAGCATTCCAATTTTGCACCCGTCTCTCATCCAAAGGCATTTCATCTACCCAAACCAATTGGCTTTGGAGGAAATGCTGGAATAAACTGGAAAAGTTTCGAGCGATAGAATCAAACTCGTCAGCGACAGGCTGTACTTTGGACATGCCTGCCCCTGCAGGTGGCTGCAAGAATCTTGACATGTTCATGTTGACATGTATGCCTCGGCTCTCTTAGATTTCTCACAAAGTTCCAAGATGACTTTTAGTCATGCACATGGTGTTTCGAAGGCAGAAAAATGTTGTTACATGTCCTTGCTTTTGCGGAGCAAAGAATGACGTTGACTGTGACATGGCAAGGGAGTGCTCTTCCAGCGTACCTTCAAACAAGACGGGTCCCTGTGTGCAAGATCCAAAAACCCCTTACACAATGTTCACGACCAACAAAAAAATTGACCGCATAACCAAGCCAGTCAACTGACGGTTCTCCTACACAAATTACAAATAACATTGCGCCGTACACGGCACACGGCTTGAACAGACAATGCATATTAATAAATGCTTGACATGTGTTTTCCACACTGATAACAATTTCAACACCGCCAGGCTTTATGCTCAGCCCTGAGGTTCGTTGGGTACATACCCGAGGTCTAAAATAAAAAGTGTCCTAGGTCGATGATGGATTATGTTGAGGGGCTCGAACTGTCTGAGCTTTGCATGTATGATGCGTTCCGATTTTGTTGAGGGCAGTGATTGTGAAGGGCAAGAGCAGGCATGCATCCCCACCGTCGGCCCGCATCGCCAAACCCGCCATTTCTGCTGAGAGCTGCTCAAGCAACGCAAACTGTAGGCACCTTGTGCAGCAGCCCGTACCCTGCAGATGTGACCACGAACAGGTCCTCAGTCCCAGTTTGGATGGGCGTAGGTTTCGGGAAAAACGTGAGTCAGCACTTGCGCGCAGGCCGATCCAATCTGAAGCTTGGGTAAACAAACAGCATTGCACAAAGTTGAATGCAAAGCCTTGCACTACTCGTAGCTGCCCAGAATGCAGTGCAAGGAGACGAGCGGCATCGGTGGCCACATCCACCTTGCCTGCAATGCCGTGCTGTTCTTTCTACAGTCTTATTCATTGCAGTCCTTCTAAGCGTGGTTACTTTGATCAGAAAACCACTGTTGAGCGCTCCTTCCGGAAAAACGGAAGCTTTCTGCAGCGCAGCCATCGCTTCTTGTCGAACTTTATACCTTACGGAGTTCCGTCAACTTCGTCATCACTGCTGACAGCATCATCTGGAGTGCATACACCCATAGAAGCTCGCTCAAGGAGTGGTCATCTACCCTTGATACAACTTCACAAGTATTTCTGCACTCCCCCCCAAGGACCTGAATCACACTGTCAAATGGCATTCACATAGAACCCAGGACTGACCAGGACTTGGTGGAATCCATTCAAATTTTACTGTCTCACACTTATCTGGTTTCGTATACAGACTACCAACTCTGCAAAAAAACTTGCGGAAATACAACTCAATACGCATGAAGCTTAATTGGCTTGCACACAAGAGATGAGGTTCTCCAGGAATTGACGAAAACCCAGTTGAAGTCTATTAACCATTGTTTGATCATGTGCAATGCAAGACCCTCCAAGAGTTTGTGGGATTTCAACACAGCTTTGTTGAGCACAAATTTGCAAGTCAATGAACGTCCACACCCTCTAAGGATCAGTCGAGTTGATTCAAGGCTTAAGTTCAATCCTTTTTGTATGGAATCCAAAAATTGCAGGAAGGAGTGGACGGGTTCGAGTTTAAATGAACCTCACATGGAATGTCTAAGAGATGCTAGACTTGCAGCTGAAGTTGAAGTCCGTAGCAGGAGGCTCTTAGCACTAAAAACTTGCCAGGAAGGGGTAGACTGCCATTTGACTTAATTCGTTTGAGTAACGCGTAGTAGCCAGGTGTTACATTCACTTTTCACGCAACAAGATCCTGCTGCCTCCACCTACGGCGCAGCTCATAATGAGTTCAAGGTCTCTGGACCCAAGTGCCGCTCACCCTCACCATGCGGGGCCATACACGAGTGTAGAACAACAGGCGGCGGAAAGTGGGCAGGAAGGGGCCGCAAGACACCCTTGCAGTATTCCGTAGCCGATGTGCTGTTGCAAGTGTACCAAAGATGTTTCTTCTTGTACCGCCTTCCTATCCAGTAGTTACTATTGAGGGGAAGGGTTTGTTTGCGCTTTGTGGCCCAACCTAACGGAAATGAACACCTGCGCATCCCTTGCCTGCACAGTTTGTCATGCTGCAATTTTATCTAATGCGGCATCCATCCTCGCTGCCCTCCTTGGGCATTGGTGGACTTGTTGCTGGTAAATGCAGTGTCACTAATGCTGTCGCTTCCACTGCCACCATCACAATTTTGCAGCACATATCCCATGATCATTCAAATTCACTGTCATGGCATGCCTCACCTGCCACTCGGACTAGCCACAGAGCCTATGTCCACATGCAGTTTTCAGCACATGTGCTTGTTCATATACCTACAGGAGGAAATGATGGACTTTTAGCTGAAAGGTACTGAACCGGCGCTTGAGACCTAGAGGAATGTCAGGACATTACGAAGAAATCCAGGACTGCCCCGGGCTTACGTGCCTCTCATTGTGGGCGTCGAAACAGACGCCTTGTAGTTAAGTGGTATCAAGTAACAGACCTAGGCAGCTTCAGCAGTTCTTGGGCATCGAAATGAATGTCATTGAGCATGTAATGAGCCCTCTCAGGAATATCAATGTCAAGACAGATTTCAGTCAGATTTGACGCAGGTTTGATACCTTCTCGGGCCCTCCACCACCCAGGTTCAAGTTCAATCAGAGTTCCACAGTCTCCTAAAAGGACTTGCTAGTTGAACTTGGTTGACTCCAAGCAAGAACCGGCCATTCGACATTGCAAATGGTTCCATCAATGAAAGCATTCCAGCCCGAACCACTAAAGCCGAACTCCACGAACAAAAAATGTCGGTGGATAAGCCACTACTGTTGGACAACCACCACTTGCCAAGACAAATCGACAACTTTTCGCACCGTCAAAAAATGTCCCCTATATAATCCCTAGGCCCTAGATACCCTCCCTTTAAGGAGTTTAGACTATAGCTCACGTGGAAAATGCTGGATTTTCTCTACGATGTGTGGTGCTGGGTGTCCTCCAGGCGTTTTCCTGTTCATTTTACGGAAAAACTGCGCTCTTCTCAGTAAGGCCGCCTCCTGTTTGCAAAAGAAGCCTCTTTTCCTGGGAAAAAGGAGTTCTCTTTCCCAATGCCATCTTGTTCCTCTGAACGTCGCTGGAAAGTTGTTGGCAACAACATGTGTTAGTTCCATCTCTTGTTGCAGTTATCTGGAATGAGTCTTGGGGAGCTTTCGCAAAGAGAATGCGTATGCCTTCATGCATTGCTTCTGAGTTTGCAGAAGCATGTCGGATTCAAACGCAGACCAGCCACGTATGCACCAGGGACAGGTGTACGTACTTCAGCACCTGCTCGATGCCACTAGCTTCGGGTTTTGCAGGCGGAAAGGTATTGGGGGACGACGCTTGCCACAGAATATCCATGTGTTCTTAAGGGCTGTCACTACCCACCACAGAGCCGAGGAAAGGCCCATTCAAAGCTTTCAGGAAAGGATTCCATGCTGATCAGCCTTGGCCGCTTTTCGCTGGTCCTTGCCATCGCCACTCTCGAAGATTTGCATCCAAGGCTGAGACCTCAATGCAACTGACTTAGTGATATCTACTGATTGGATGCTCTCGTGGCGCCTGCTTGAGCCACATTTCTTCCAAGTCGCACGGTCTCAGCTCAGTGAAGAGAGTCTCGGCTCTTTCAGGCGAGATGCGGCCACTGCAAAGGCAGATCTGCATCAGATCGAGCAATCCTCAGGCAGCTGAAAGAATGCCTTTTCCCTCCCTCTTTCCTAGACTCAGAGAATGTGAGGAGGCAAACTTTGTATCCCTACTTGAAGCTTCCAACCAAGAAATTGCCAAAAAAACTTAGAACTCGCCACTTGTAATGGCGGAAACGATGTCCGTAATGGAATTCCGGAAATGCTGACAGTTAAGACCTTCACCTGTCATCTCCATAGTGGCCAAGGATCCAGTGCAAGTATCGCAGCTTCCAGGAGATCTTGTCCTGCAGAAAAATCCATGGCCACAGAATCAGCTGAGGCCGGCAAAGAATTCGAGGCTGCTATCATCCTTACCAATCCTGGCAACGACACTCAACTTGGACAAAATCATCTGCTTCTCTCCACCACGTCTGAAGGTTGCCATGATGGTGAAACACGTTAGGTCACTGAGACCCTTGGACAAACACTTCGGCCTGATACTCTGCCACCTTCGTCCTCGGATTTCAGATAGGGACATTGCAAAAGTCGACGTACCTAACCTGTTGTTGTTTCCCTTTACACGATTCTACCCGAAGTTTTTGGGATGACGTTGGGCTTGCTGGCTTGCAAGCTCAGAGTCTAAAGGATCCTCACTATTCAGTGGAGAAGGTGTTCTGAGATTTGGCAATGGAGCTAAACCTATGCCGCTGCTACATGGAACCTCTTGGTGAGATGCTGAAGCGGTCCAGGCCTTCACAAATTGGATGCAGGCAAGCGACGCCGCAAGACATGCTACCTGAGACACAGGAATCGGGGAAGGGGTTTGGAAGTCGAGGACCAAAAACCCGATCACGCAGTTGCATCTTGTGCAAAAATGACGGCTGACGAGAAGAAAAGGTCTCTTGAGTTCCGTTTTGCCTTTAGCCTTTTCGCAGGAAGCTCAAGCCAAGTCACAAACCGCAAATGGTTTGCAAGCACGCCAGCCTGAATTTGTAAGTCGCCAGCGTCTGCGGCCTGACTCTCTCAAGAAACACTGCAGTATACTGCTTGCTGCGGGCATGGCAAGTTTGCAAACAAAACAAACTCAGCAAGTCTGCTTTCCAGAACCTTCCATGCTTCATGCATCTCAGGAGCCTACAGCAATCCCGCCCAATTGCATCTCTAGGCACATCAGTCGTGATGTTCTTCTTCTTCAGCAGCTTCTGGTGGCCTCTGCAATATGACTGTACATACCTCGAGCATCAAGCCTACAGTACGATGCTATCTACGTGGCAGAGGTTCCAAATCATTCGTCGCCAAAATGTGCACATGGCCGCCCCGCGCCGGCATCAGCGGCATGAGAAGGCGTCCGCTTCTCTGGTCGGTTACTGGGACCACCAACACACCCCCCCAAAACATCCTCTGGTGAGGGCTAGCCCCGGAACGCAACCAAATTATACCACATCTTAGGATTCCGTCCCCCATGGGACAGATCAGCATAGATGGGCGCAAGACTAAAGCTTCTCCAGAGGAAGCTTTGGTAACAGAGCTATCTCCCTGCCCTCTACAGTGCGACACACCCATGAATGCCTTCCACATCCCTCATGGTAGCGACGGAGTGCAGGTTTCGCTGTCTAAGCCTATCCCTCTAGCCGTGCTAGACTTGAAAAAACATGTCAACCAGCCAACGCTGCGCGAGAGACCCGAGGATCCAGAAGCTTGGGCTCTCATGCTTGTGCTTGGACAACACTTGGTACCAAAGCCAAGCGTCGATGATCAAAGTCCGTGAGCACCTCCAAGAAAGCCTGTCCGTTGATTCAAGGGGCTTTGCTTTGAAAAGCACATGATGCTCCTTTTGGGTACCCTTTCGTTCGGCCAGACTCGTATGCTTCCTGAGTTCCAAGAGACATGCAAGTGGAAACAATCAGATTTTCCTCGGAAATCCTCAGCCCAAGACTTTTTTCTGGGTGTGGCTGAGCAGCTTCAACCAGCAAGCAATACAATGTAGACAGATGATCTTATAGTCTTATGGTATGTGGAAGTCTGGTTCACATGGCCAAAGGTCGGAGCACCCCGGCTCGAGACAAGCTGTCCGCTGTTCCCTCAAACGCTAAGACAATTCAGCCACACCTGAAGCAACTAATCCAAAAATGTTGCCTTGCTGCTTACCAGGCATAGAAGTAGATGCTTGCAGGCCTTCTCTGTGGCAGTGATGTCCAGCTCCCTGCATCCACCAGCCTCCCGCCATGTTGCTCTCTGAGACTGTAAAGCAGGAATGTCAGATCCTGAGAGCTTTAGCAAGTGCTTCACGAACGTGGTACCTACAGGCTTAACTTCACGTACCACTGCCTATTGAGAGCCTCCAGCTCCTTGATCTCAGCGGAAAAATGTAGTACTTGGAGGCAACATCGTTGCATGAAGAAAAAACCCTCTCAAACCTCCAGCCCTTCATCTTGTGCATCTCCGCTGATTCCTTGACATGCCAACGTGATGCATGTTCCTAAAATTGAAGGTGACTTGCTTTCGCCCATAGGGTCGAGAACTCACACCAGGAACAAGTAAAACACGCTGCACACGAGAGCCTGTGGTCCAACAGAAAGTGCGAAAGGTTTGCTAGCTTCAAGCCTGCGTGTATCGGCGTCCGTAAACACACGGCCCAAGGAGAGCAAGACCAAGCACAGGCCTCAGTGTGTTTCCATTTAACCACAAATTTACATGAGAATTGCAAATGGCAATCGAAGCCATTCCGCCAAAGTTGCTTCAAGTAATGCATGGGGCACGCCTTCCAACTGGATGGTCGAACCCTCTAGGATTCAAAAAAGCTTGGGGATGTTGTGTGTAGATGGTATTTTACAAACGCTGCCCAAGCTCGGTGTTGAAAGCCTACCTCCACCCAAAGCAGTATCCAGAATGCCTTTCGAATAAACCCCCTGAGGTCAGGGACCACCGCCACATTGCGATTGCAGGGCTTTTTTCTGGAAGCTGCTGATTAGAACTGGTGCCTTGCCTGGTACGTCACTACTTCCCACCTTCCTTGCACATATCTCTTTGTTGGCAGACAACAGATGCTTGAAACGGCCGCAGTGCCATCAAGGCGGGCACGAATGAAGATGCAACCAATGAGTTCAAGGTACCAAATTCTCTTTAGAAGGCTCATTATCATATCGCTGAACTGTGGCTTTAGGAACGCAGAATATCTGCAATCAAACCTGGTCCAATGTGGAGAAGACCGGAATCAAACAGGTTGTTGACAAGGCGAGGCATGCTATCTGCAGGACATGCATTGCTTTTTGCAGAGACTGCATTGTGGGGACTGTCATGGGGGAATGCATCGGGACTACTAGGAGGAACGGTTCCCTTGTTTAGCCTTGTTATTGCCTCGTTTAAGAGGCATCCAATCGACATGCCCTCGGCCTGTTTGCATTCCTTTTTTGCAAGCTGCCCTCCTTGGAGCAGTTGGATTTGCATGACGAGATCTCCTGAGGAGCCCACCTTTGGGCTTCAGATGCATTCGACTCGGCTTTCTGATGCTGCTCCGATGAAGGAGGCACATGTCACTAGTAACCATCAAGTGCCCTCAAGGAAGAGGCCTCATGCCCGAGATATGGTGAAACTGGCCGGCACCAGAATGCCACACTTCATGCACTGCAGACCTCAAAGTAGGCAACACCATTACTGCGCAGCTTAACACTGACCTAAGCTTGGATGGAGACGAAGTGCTCAATCTGACATGCAAACTCTGGTATCCTGGTACCGTTGACAAACTGAAGATGTGTGACAAGGGCGGACCTCCCTGCATCAAGAAAAAGCAGTTGCTTGCAAAGCGTCGGAACTCTTCAGGGCCCTTGGTAGTGGAGTGCTGTCATTCAAAATGAATCTTTGGGAAGGCATCCTTCAAGCAATCTAAGCCGGCAACGCAATCAGGATTGGAGAAGCGATTCCCCCGAAAATCTCACTCTATGCTATCCACACATGAAACCAGAATAATTGCCGCCAGTCCTGCTTGTGATACACTGCGTATGATTCTCTAGGTCGAGCCCTTGAAAGTGTTGCGGTTGAAGCTTGACACTTCAAACGGGCGGTCCATCCCGTTTATGTTGGATTTGTGTCTTTTGCCTCGGCCTCCTCCTTCTGCAGAGACTCAGCTGGGCCAAGCCAACAGGTACGGCGGCCTGAACAGAGGGGAAAGGCCGTAAGGCCTGATGGATCCTAAGGAACAGCTCAAAAGTGATACATCTGCTTCCAACGTGTTTGTATCACAATCCCCGTCTGTGCCTTCTTCCCATTCGCCACGCCGCTTATCACCTGCTATGCAACTCCCAGCCGTCCCAATCGATTCTGAACGCAAGGAATCTGCTAAGACTGTTTACATGATTGGAATACAGCACTACCGCTTGGTAATGCCGTCATACCAGCATGCGAACCTCGTGCAGTGCAGTAAACGCCAATACCATGCTGCTTGCCGTTCTTCCACTGGCCATCATATTGGCGGCCTTGGCACGAACTTCTTCCAACAAGCATGGTAATGATAGTAGATTAGCCCGTGAATTTGTTCGTCACTGTCTTCACATATTAACAGCTGCAGGAGCGCAGGATAATCCATACCTCTATTTGAAAACGCATTTCAGCTCGCGGCAGCAACCTAGACCCAACCATTCCAATGTTTCACCTTATCATCTTGCAGGGCTTGGAGACTTTGCATGGAAGGATTCGGGCGTTCCGCCACCAGATCATTTTGCAAGTCAAGCCAGCTATTCAGCATCACTTCTCCCGCTTGGGTCCGGGGCGGCGCCGAAAGTTCCAGGCGGTGCCCCAACATGCCAAGTGGACAGAGATCGAGTTTGAGCGCGGCTAGAGGGCGTATAGCTGAATTGTGCCATTGGCGGAGGAGGATCCCGTGGAACTGGTTTAATCTCTCGGAAAGATCAAAGGGGAATGAGCTTCAGATCCTGCAAACGAGCTCTCTTGCCTTGTGACTTAGGTCCAGCCCAAGCTGGCCTCTGAACACTCTATCATGCTCATGCTGGCTTGGGGTGGGCGCGGGCTTACATCGAGGGGTCCAGCATGTTGAACTGTTGCCGGAGCCTTGATGAGATTTGCGGAAAGGCTTAGATGGCGGCAGGGACCACGTTGTTAGGCTGACTGCGCCCGAGCCCATCCACTCACTCTTGCACTTTGTCACTAACTCTCACCCCCGCACTCGCACTCGCATCATTTCTGAAGCTACCAAGCCACTTTCTACATACCTTCACTTTGCAGAGCCTGAAGCTCCTGACCTGCTGTAAATCAATGCTGGCAAGCAGCCATCGGGCCATCTAAATACGCCCTGCAGGCATGCCGGTTGTCGATGGGCGATTGCGAACTGTTTCTTGGAGACTGTTACAGGGGGTCAGGTCTATCCTTCCTTAGTCAGGCCCACTACTCCTGACCAAAGTTTCTGCTGCTCAGCAAAATCTCGCGGGAAAAATTCAAGCAAGTGCGGCCTCACCGTCCTTCTGGTCACTGACATACTGACCTTCGTAGCTGCGACCATCCTTAGCAAGCTCTTTTCATTCATGGCACATGATCATTCTTCCGACCTCTAGCCTTCCTGGTCCCTCACCACAGGTTTCATGGCGTTTCTGGTGCACATGCCTCTATGCCCGATGTAGGAAACCATCTGGATGCATCCCTGTATCCCGCCTCATAGGCTCAAGAAAATATGAAATCAACGCTCGATGGCCATGTACCTCATGCCTCTCCTCTTCTCCGGCTGCCAATCTTACAACTGGCGTTGAGGGGTATGACTGCATGTAATGCGACTGCCTTCAGCAAGAATGTCTCGAGATACATTGCAGACTTCTGGGCTGCAGGCCACCCAGCTGAAATGCCCAAATCCGTGCATCCTGTCAGGTATGCCACTAAACTTGATGAAGCCTGCTATCCTGCCACTTAGACTCCATGAGCGTGTCCAAGCTGAAGTAGACACCACGGGGCTTGCCAGCTTACCTTCGGAACCTCTTGAAAAAGAATCCTGCAGACCTATCATGAGATGTACACCTTTCCTATGCCTAGGTGACAAAGTTTCTTGAGCCGCGCCTGTTGCGAGCCCATTGGCCCTCGAACTTTCGTCCATCGCTCCACTTGTACACGCCGGCCTGCAGCAAACACATCGTTGGGCCAACCTTTCAGTACAGCTCGTAGCAGCTATCAGCTAGACTCTAGCTGCGAGCAGACAATCGATTGGAATAGGGTAGCAATTACTCTCATAGTGTAGTTTTCATGCGCATTGAACTTCTGAACACAACACGACCACGCATTTAGATCCAGAATGCCTGTGGCAGAAGCAGCATAGCATTGGCTCGTTGAGCTTGGGAGCTGCGCAGCTTTTGCGAATCTGGAGAAGCTCACAAAATGCTGAGATTCCCACCCCATGGATGTCGTTGTTCAGGAACTCGCCCTAGCTTGCGCATTGTCTAGCATTACAGGGCTATTCCATGCTCGGGAGGTGAAAATAAGTGGATCCAGCAGCTTGAGATTTGAAGCGTAGCCTTCTATTAGTCACAATCTCAGCTCCAGCACTGCTCGTTTCCTTCAACCTTCCTTGCAAAACCTGGAAACACAAAACTCCGCGAAAAAACCCAAAACCTGGGTGATTAGTCCACACTACAAATGGCACTAGACTTCAGGGGGAATCTTCAGCACTGCTACATGTGCAGTTTCCTTTGAGTGCGAACCTGGTAGCTGGAGCCGTCTGCCCAGGCGAACAGGCCCAGCCCAGACTTGTTCCCGTGCACCTCGCACGCTCGGAATGACAGCTGAGTGGCACATGCAGTTCGGGCAGCATCCCAGTGCAACGGAGACACATACGAACCCGTGTACTTGGCCCCATCGGGCCACATCTCAGTTCCTGCAATTCATCGTTAACAGCGACAGCAGCTCCCAGCAGGCACACGAACGCAAGCGAGCTGGTGAGCTGAGCTAAGTCCATGGGCCTTGGCCGTGCTGCTTGTCCTCCTGCCACTGGCCTTCGTATTTAGAACCGTCGGCGTGGTAGTAGATGCCATGGCCGTGGGCCTTGCTGCCAAAATATCTCAGTCTTTGACTGCAGGCTTTACAGCCAAAACAGCACATCGTGCTTTAAACCGCCCCGTACCCTTGTTGGACCTGCCCTTTCACAACGTGTGGCAGCTTGCTGAAGTATGTAGCATGGCTTCAGATGTACGTACATCTTGACGGAGGAGCGTGCCCTGGACGCTTCAAGTATTGGACTCACCTCCTTCAGATCAGGCCTTGTCATCCTTCCACTGTCCTTCGTAGATATCCCCATCAACGTGCTCGAATCTTCCCGAGCCAGAGGCCTGGTGAGATCCAAAACAGGAAGGTGCAGCACCGTGTCAAAACCTCTGGATTCAGGAGCCGGCCTTATCATCCGCCCAATCACCTTCGTATCGGGCACCATCTGGCCAGATCTGCACGCCTTTACCGTGCCTCAGCCAAACTCCACAACGCAGGCACGACTTGAAGCATTGAGCGCAAGCTGAAACAGAGCTCCAACCGCACACACATAATCAATTTTTACTTACGTTGTGAAGAAGCCTGGCTCTTCCGCTGGAGCCCCTTCACGAAACGAAAAGATCTCAAACGAGCCTGCAGCTTCCTTTCCACTCGCCGGTGTAGGTGGCCCCGTTCTCGAATGTGTGAGAGTCCTGTCACTGTGAAACTCTGAGTTGCAGATATTTCTAGCATTGTGGCCGAGAGCACCTTCCCAAAGCGGCTGGGAACGTTGGAGTCCTGTCGAGCAGCAAACAAAATTGCTCATATACCGGCATCTGAGAGCAAAGCGCGAGGTTAAACTCGCTTTGGGCATCCGTCATGCCAAACAGACGCCCAGCACAGCCTCCTATTGACTCATGGGTTTGCAACTTCTGAGATGTGCCCTTGCTGCCATGCGCCGCAGATTGGTTCGGAGGGTTGAGGCACGTTGAGCCTTCACCATCTCGGACGCATCGCCGAGGTTGGAAGCGCAGCATGATGAAGGCGAGGCCCCTCAGCTCTGCTTAGCTATGCTTAGCTCTGCAACACCATTGCTCCATTCAGGATGTGCGCGTTCTTTCGCAGTAGGTACCTTTTGTTCCTTCCTCGATGGCATAGCTGTTCCAGCGTCCCCCGTCTGTCCCGCTGCAATACTCTTTGTCATTGCTTCTTTCCCATGTGTTCGTTATATTGCCCTCCCTCATGTTTGCCACTACTTCCCGCTGCACATAAAAAGAAAGTCCATGCTGTAGGATTGCTGACCCGTACAGCTTCTTTAAAAGTTGTTATCTTCTGGGTCAGTAGCAGACTACAGGTTCCATACATCCCACAACCTAAGTTAGTTCAGCAGCTAGCTTGCAGTCGAGCGGCCCATGGAAGGAGCTACTACCAAAAGCTGGAAGCTCCACCGTCGGCTCTACCCACAACTTCAAAGAAAAGGCTGCCAAACTAGAGTTTATCCATGTGTTTCAAGCAATGCCTTGCACAAGCAGAAGTGTTCTGAACCCAGGAGATCGATCAGTTGCCTGGAGTTGGCTCTGGGGTTTGGGCTGCAGGGTCCTTTCATGTGCCTGACTTGGTAATTTGCTCACTTCGAAGAGAACGTTTTCGGGATGTTTCTGCTCAACATCATGCAAACAAATTCGGTTTTAGGCTTCAAAGGGTGCTCGAATGTTCATCGAAGCTGAGCCGAAAAACAGTGGAACAGTTTCCAGAGCTTCACAGATCTTCATGCTCAAGTCAAAGCGCTGGCAAGTCAATCTGGCAGCAGCATAAGGTGCATAAGGTGGGCTTTTCAGCTGCAGCTTCAAGCCATGTGCATGTGGAGGAGTGCCCAGCAGCCTGGCTGGAAAGCGGCGTCGTCAAGAAGACAGAATTCTCTCATATAAATATATATATACATACATACATACATACATACATACATATATATATATATCCCTAATATATACCCTATTACACTATAGTAGCGTCCATTTCATTTTGCACTATCCCAACATAACCCTTTGTAGCTTCCATTTTCTTTTCTATTATCCCAATGTTCCCCCATATACCCTAAACCCTAAACCCTAGTTTCCATGTTCTTTTGCATTATCCCCTATAGCACCCCATATAAGTACAATATAATCCCTTTAATAGTAGTTTCCATTTTCTTTTCCATTATCCCCAGTAGACCCCGAAAAAGTGGCCCTGCCTTTGCAAAGTGCCATGGCATGAAGCCAGCATTGGAAGCTCTCCGAATGTCTGCACCTGACCATAAGAGGAACAATAATGGGGAAAAATAATGCGAATAATTCGAATAGAAGATCACATGTCACAGAAAATGGGGAGTGCACCAATCTCCATCAACTCGGCGTCAAATGCATCATGCAGCGGAACACTACACGAGTCTGATTGGGACTTCTGACATCCACCTGCATCAACCAGGTGCTCAAGGAGCGAAGTGTGACCAAACTGTGCCGCAGCGTGCGCAGCCGTGATCCCCTGGCTCAAACAAATGGCATGAATGCCGGGTGGACAGGAATAAGAATTTGGCCTGGATTCCCTTAACTGCAACTTTCCACATGCCGGTTCTTCACAGACGAGTGAAGCGGCTGAACGGTGGACAACTCAAGCATTCAGAACTAAAGTGCGTAGGGAAAAGAGGCAAAATGGCAGTGGGCCGCACATGGCTTTTACAGAGATGCTAGGTCTTCCTACGGAACTCTGGTGGGTCAGTTGGGGATTGTTATGATCTGTGGTGCTGGGGGTCCCTTGATAAGGAAATCTGAATCCTCTCCAGAGTGAAACTGCGGTAGAAAGATGTCGCAATGTGCATGAAGAATTCAGGTTGTTGCTGAGCTAGCATCGTTGTCATCAAGTATCTGCGTGAGCTCCTTCTAGCTTTTGCAGACAGATCTTCAACACTTTCGGGTTTTGCCCCTTGCTCTGGCTTTGGCCTACTCTCCAACACCCACACCTGAACAAGGTCCCCTTGAAACAACCTCAGACCCATACGTCGTAAAGAGTAGAACATTCCGAAGAAGGCAACCCAACCCCTAGCATGAGAAATTCAACATGGTCTCCATTTATTTATACCAATACAATACCAAAACAAGACTTAGGGTCTTATTCATTTCCATCACAATATA